GACATTTATTGGTATTTAAAAAAACTTGCAGTTTCGGAAATATAAAACACCGGAAATTCGAATTTTACAAATTTCAAGGGTCAATAACTTGGGAGTAGATGAAGATAAAAAAAAATATTCTTATATCGAAACAAACTATTTACAAGTATGCATAACAGCTACTAGAATTTTCGATTTATATAATTTCCCGTGTCTAGAAGAGAAACGACACAAAAAATTTGTGAGAAATAAGTTTCACATAAAGGTTTCAATGGTTAATTTTAATGGTCATTTTACCATTTGATTATTTGACTATATTCAATAGAAGAAGTTATTCACTACTTTTCTACGTTAGTGGAATTTTAAAAACTTTTGTGGTTTCGAGACAATAAATAGTCAAAAAATGGCGTTTTTAGGATTTTAAGAGGCTTATAACAGTTATAGCTTTAGAACTATAGGAACATATAACTTAAGAGAGAGAAGGAGATAGGTAAAAAATTTCTTCTACAAAAATTTGGAAAATGTAATGAATCTAAAAAATTTTAAAAATGTTTGGAAATTTTGGAGTTACCGTTTATATATAACACAAGTTATTCCGAATTATTAAAATTTACTTAACTGGATGTTTATTACTCTTATATAAATTAGATACTGTGGCCGGACTTAATTATAAAAATAGCATACCAATGGATCTTTATTAGAAATTAGCTCTTAGTCAAACTTTATAATTTAATTAATAAAAGTCATCTTACTCTCATAATGTACCACTTAATCAGTCTTCATCACCATTATTTCAGTCAGTCATCATCACCGCTCAAATCTTTTAGCAATTTTCTTTACTTTCTTGTGTATCTATTTCTTTAATTTCTAATAGTTTTTAAGTAAAGGAAATTTATTTTACAAAAACATTTTCCCTTGTGAGTGTGTACTTATACGTAAGTTTTAATACCAAAAGTGCAATGCACAAAAGCTAATCAAGTTTTACAATTTAATTCCCTAACTACTTCTGGACATTCTTTAATTATGACACATGGTAACTGAAATACTCACCTCTACAAAAAAAAAAATTATACAATTGAAGATATGCAATTGAAAGTTGAAGAATATCGCGCTTGATCACCATACGCTTCAGTTTCAAATTTCAACTCCCTTTTCAATCTTAATCTCAAATTAAAACTGGGAAAGTGGAAAAAATTCGCTGGATAGTCAAATATTGTTATAATGTTAAGTAGGTAGGTATGTAAAATATTACGTTTGTAAATAAAATATTGATTTTATCTACTTATATTATTATTTACTTTTTAATTCTTGTGTAAATTTAATTAATAAATTTCTATTCGATTTTAATATACTTTAATTATTCTGTATTTCAGAATGTACGTACCATAATCTCTTTAAACAATCCTTATTTCAATAAACACGCCATCTATCGTTGGGGTAAATAATGTAGTATCATACACCAAAACAAAATTTATTTGTATTATTGACTTAATGGTTCGTGTTTATAATAATAAAATTTTAATATTTTATGGCATATCGAAAATAAACTCGCTTCTAAAAACTTATGCCATAGAAAAGGTATAAAAAATAAAAATAAAGTTGGTAAATACTTCATATATGTACGCATATGTAAATATTTTGTTAGTTTTAGAAAATTTAGAATAAAAATTAACAAAAAATTTTTAAATATCATTTACGATATAGTCTTACATATCAGAACACAGGAGCGCTGACAAATCATTTTGTTTGGCAACTGTCATTATTCGAAGCTGCCAGTGTAGCTAAGTTCTTATATATATGTATATGCGCCATGCGGCGTTCTTGTAATTTTTGAGTATTGCCAAGAATATTTTTAGAAGCTAGTTTTATAATTTATGTTTTTGTGAATTATTTAAAATCAATTAAATGGTTTAATAAATTAACATATCGAATTATTTTATAATAATTACAAATAAAATACTTTTAAAAACCATAAATTTCTGTTACAAAGTGTTGTAATTCTTAACATTTTGTTTTGGAATTTTAGCACAAAAATTAACTTGATATTTTGGTAATACTACTAAAAAGTCAAACAGGATAAACAAACAAAAATCCATATTTATGATAAGAAAATTTCGGGCATTTTTTTTCGCCAAAAGGAAAAATTCATATCTTAAACTTAATAAAACAATTTTCTTCTAATTTATATTAAATTTTAATCATCTAAGTATATATATTGATATACTAACGGAATAAAGGTGAGAATAATGGCAGAAAAGAAAAGATCCAGAAAAAATTCTTCTGAATTGGAGGAACCAACCAAGATAAATTCAGAAAGTTCTGGTTCTGCCTCAGATACAGAATCTTCAAGTAGTACTGAAGAAGATTTGCAGCAGATTACAAAAAAGTTGATAGAACGTCGTAAGCGTAAGCATCACAGAAGTAAAAGACCACAGGAGAAATCATCGACTACATCCACTGATTCAGATGATGATTATGAAGAAGCAGTTGCCAACAACGAAAAAACTAAAATTCTATCGGAAGATGATTGTAGTAATAGCAACAAGGCAACTGGTGGTGCTGCAGCAGCTAGTGCATCAACAGATTCTAAAAAAGTCAGTAATGGAAACACCAACGCGGCGAATGGTGATGAACTTAATAAATAGTGCAATATAATTCTAAATATAACAAAGTTACATATTTAATCAATGAAAGATTAGTTACCGTTGCCAAAGAAAACCAGAACATCCTAATTGGTATGGCTACCATCGAGTCTTTCGTAAAAAAAAAGCATAAAATTTGAAAATTCTCAAGTGTATTTGACATTTATCAACTAACAAATTAAATATAGTAATAAGCATAGAATTATAAAAATAATAATTTATTATAAAACATTTTAGTAAACATCATTTCATGTTCATTTTATTTGCAACTTTTAGAATTCTCGAATAAATATAACTATAATTTTCAGAAATTGTTGGGTGTTAAAATTTTAAGCTATGATTCTAAAATCTATCATCAACATCAATTTTTTGTTGATTTTCTAAATTTATTTCCAAATGCATACTTGCATTTTTATATTAAAAAAATATTTTTGCTAAACTAAATTAAATTTATTTTCACATGCACAATAATATTTTGCATAAATGGAAATAGTTTCAAAACCGATTGGCTTGGTTATTCTATTACATTTTTTTGGTTATAAAATTATTTTCCAAAATGCTTTCGAACAATCAAAATAATTAAATTTTAACTAACAATTTGGAAAATACTGAAGACTTTAAAAACATAAATATGTGCAAAATATGTTTTAGTTCTTCGTTGTTTATGTAAAATTAGATTCATGAATAAAATTAAGGAATTTATAGTTAAATACAGTATGTTCTAAAATTGCTCATTAAAACTCTCGCCATTTCAATATCAAAATCATTCCTTCACGATAATATGTAGATACTTGGAATTTTAAAGATTTTTGTTGCATTTACAAGAATTAATTGCGTTGTTCAAAAGCAAGTGTATTCAAAATTATACAAAAATTACGAAAATGAATTATTGTATGTATGTATATAAAAACTAATAAACGAAAGTTATTAGCTCATTTTTTATTTTCCTATTCGCGAGTACATTTTATTAAACTCGATTACCACCATACTGCACAGGTCCTATTAAGAACCAATATTTCTATAAATGCATGTAATTATGTTTTGATTTTAGGATTATTACATAGTTATCAAAAATATAACAATAGGAAACTTTAGTCATAAAATGTAATATATTGCAAAGAGAAAATACTGGAATAATACCTTTTGCCCAAAAAAACTTTAAAAACACAATAATGTCTTTATAGGTCGTTAAACGATATTCTACTTCTTTTTTGAACAAATCGTTGACTATAGCAAAAAGTGAGCGAGGTAGTAATTAGAAACAACCACTAAGTCAAAACATTAAACCGATTAAGAAATTCTTAAGGAATAAAATGAGAAGATTGACTTGATTGCAATCGTTGAATCGAAATTGAAATCGTTGAGTTTGCGTTTTTGTATATACATTCAAGTGCTTTAAAACATACGAATTTTAAAATTTACATTATTACAAAACAGTATTTTGAAAGAGTACTTTCAAGCATACGAGTTTTTGAAACCTAGAATTTGATTAGTAGTGCTTATGTTAAAATGTTCTTATACCCGTACTTTTTAAATCAAGTAACCCCAATAAGCTACACGCAACGTATATTCATTATTGATTTTGATACGCGTAAGTACATTTTTTTTATCGGTTTATTTTCTAATGTCAAATTGATCTGTTTATTGTTAATTCAAATACGTTATGTAAAGCGAAGACTTAAAATTTAACAATATAAACTTCTTTGGAAAAGATTTATGAAATTTAGAAACTTGAAAATTAACAATTACTGCGTTTATATGCAACTTCGAGTTTGTTTCGATCTCTACTTGCTTTGAAATTTTCAAGTCAAGTCGATTCGATAAAATTATTAGCATGATGTGAAAATCGACATATTCCCTAAATGAAAGATCGAATATAACAAACTAGTAAATGTTTGTCAGCTAATACCAAACTCAAGTCGATTTCAAGTAATATTATTTCAATCTATTTAGTATATATTATGCAAATTCAAATTTTAAGTCAAGTACTTACTACATTACATTCACCATATAAATGAAGTAAATATAATTTTACAACTTAAACTAAAAACAAAGTAAACGTAAACTTTAAAACTAAACAATACCGGCATAAAATTACATAGTGTAACAAACTTTTGACAGTAAATATCAAACTGCACCCATTGAGTTCGATTCTCTATTATAAACAAGTTCTTTGAAGGCTACAAGTTCTTTGAATTACACACAGCTAATGCAAATATAAAATTCCACTTTGTTGTCGTCGAATACAATTTAAAAGGAAATTTTGTTGCTTAAAATAAAACTAATTTGCAAATTCGCCTTCAATTTAGTCGGGGTGCCATCCCTGTTTTGAAACGTTTAAATGTCAATTTCTACAAACACAAGTATCATTCATTTTGACTATTTAACATCTCCGCCATTAGCAAATTAAATAATTGTAAGTTTTCAAAAATCATAAATTGGGCTGAAAATTGCAGAAAGCCAAAAGAAAAATATTTAAAAGGTTATTTTACAATGGCAAAAACTAAAAGATCGAAAAAAGATTCAACAGAATCTGAAGAAACGGCAACTTCTAGTTCAGGGAGTTCGGATTCTGGTTCTGCTTCCGAAACAGATTCCTCTAGTAGTTCTGAAGATGAAAAAGCACGGGCAAAAAAATTAAAGGAAAAACGCCGAAAACAAAAACAACAACGTGAAAGACAAAAAGAACAATCGTTATCTTTTTCTCTAAGTGAATCTGAAAATGAAAAATTAAAAAAAAAGCGTAGAGAAAAGACTAAAGAAAAAAGACGTAATCCATCGGAAAAAGGAATTAGAGATGAAAAACGTTCTAAAAAAAGGCGCGTAACTGAAGAATTGGAATATGGTGAGGAAAAAAAACTTTCATCACAGTCGTCTCCGCAACAATCACATCGACATACAAGTCATCATCATAGTCGCGATCGCAGCCGTGATTCACAAACGGTGACAGATCATCGTCGTCACGAATATGTTGAAGCAAGCTCCAAGTGGGAAAGTCCTGAGCATCCGAGAGAATATTCAGAAAAAAGGCGAGACCCTGGTAATGGATTTTACCAAAATGAAAATAAAACAAACCGAAGAAATCCTTTCGATGACCGAAATAGGGAGCATCAGGCACATCAACCGCAACAGATTTATCATCACGATGATAGAAATCAACCACAACAGCAACAACAATTTCGCAAGCATAACACATTCGAAAATCGGGATCAATTCCGAAATAGGCAAGATAGTTACCATGATAGAGATCAATATAAAAGATTCGATACTCAAAGAGAAAGAAGACCATTCCCACATCCGCAACAACAACAACATCATCAGCAACCACCACAGCAGCAAAGATTTCAGAATAGAAATTGGAATGATAGAAATATTGATCGCAATGATTTTCGAAATCAAAACAATAGACCCTTCAATAATTGGAATAATAGTCGAGGCGGCGGTAGATCTTTTCAAGATAGAAGGGGTGGAGGTCATCCTGGTGGTGAAAAAAGAAATGATTTTTATGACCGTAGAGGGCCTGATGTGAGAGGGGAACGGAGAGATATGCCAGAACGACGAGATTTACCAGACCGCAGGGAGCGTAATGATTTCCGTCGAAACAGTAACGATAGGCGGATTGAAAACTTTGACAGAAATAGAGCTGGAAAATCTGGTGAAAGTATGGAAAGAAATAGACGACCAAATTATAACGACAATAGACGGGAACCACGAAGAGACGGATCGGAAGATCGAAAAAATTTCACTAGCAGAAAAAATGATTTTCAAAAAAGCACCGGTAACAGTTTAAGTGGTGAACGTCGTCCAAAAGAAAGACGATTTTCCAGTCGGTCTCCAGATAAACGATCACAGCAAACTATAAGTGAAAAAACCTCACACCGTGAACGTAGTTGGGATAAAGGCAAAAGGTAAGCTCAAAAAATTACTTATTATTTATAGAATTTTGTTTATTTTCAATATTTATTGATTAACAGCATTTATTCTAAAGTATTTTCAAAATAATTTGTTTGAAAAATTAAGTCAATTCATACCGCTTTTTATACGAAATTTAATAATAAAACGAAAATAAAATTATTGTATTGATTTAGAATTAGTTTAGTTCTATTATTAAGGTAATCTATTATCTTGACTTAAATCACAATTGAACACCTAAGTATTCTTATTTTATTTTCCCTTTTAGACTAGTTTTTATTATATTATTCAGCTACAAGTAGGTATTTCAAATTAAAATTCAGTGTTCAAAATCATGTTTAATATATAACTAAGACAAAATAATTTAATATATTAAAAAATACATTGAAACTTTCATTAGTAATTTTTTATTAAATTTTAATTGAATAAAACATTCAAAATCAATTATTTTTTATATTTTAAGAGCTGCCTTGCTTTCCATATTGCAGTAATATCGCCCTTAATCAGATTTAGCTAAGATGAGTTGCTGAATTTAACTTGAATACAAATTTCAAAAACTAAATTATAAAAACAGTATTACATTATGGAAGTCAAGGTTGCTTCTATTTATTAAAAAATCCTAGAACTTAGTGAATCAAACATGTTTATTTGATTTTCATAGGTTAGTCAAAAAATCCATGCATATTTGTTGTTTAGAAAAATTTCGATGAAAATAATTATTAAAATAATAAAATATTAAAAAAAAATTTTGAATAGAATTATGCGATTATTGAACGGAAATTTGTACGATAGTAAGTGTATAATTTGGTTTGAGTTTTTTAAATAAAATTCATTAAAATTAGCTCTTACGCGATTTTACATTTGTAATTATTTAGAATACAATTATTGTATACAGCATGTATACATTATGTTTTAGAATTATATGTAAATATTTTACAATTGGATATATACCTACATATATTTTTTATAGAATTATTTAAGAATAAAATTTATAAGTCATAATATATGTATGTATGTAACTAGTTTAGCATTTTGCACTCTCATTTGTGTAATAATATTGTACAATAATTATTGGTTTGATGACATAGTATTTTAAAAAACTCATTGCTTTTATATTAAAAGTAGGTAACTTGGTATAATAACAAAGTTTCCGATTTTTCAATTTAACATTTATGTAGGTAACCTAACATTTTTATATTATATTAAATACAAACATACAAAATAATTCAATAAAAGAAAAAAAATTCTATTTTTTTTTTTTTTTTGGAATAATATGTAATAGCAAAATTGCACATTATTCTTTAAACACGAACTGCATTTGATGCTTACTTTAATATTCCTATATAGTGATGCAATGTACATATAAATTGTATAAACTTAATAAAATGAAATTGAGATTCGGAGAATTTTTTTGGTCATATTACTTTTTTTTTTGTAGAAAATTAAATTAATTTTTGCACAAGGTTCTAAATGCAGACAGTTTTAAAATCAAATAATTACCGTAATCTCAAAAACAACTTATGTTAAAGGATTTTTAAGTTTTTTTTTTTCGAACTAAATGTAATGATTTATATGTACATTGGAGTGTATTATTTTAATAAATATTAAAAGTTTCCTCTTTGTTGCAGATACAAATATTGACCTGCATAGAATTGATGTGGCTGAGAATTAAAAATTTTAAAAATTTATATAATAAATAAAAAAAAATTCATTACAAAATAATGTTCTTATTAGTAATGGTGCCCAATTAAATAATGCAAAAAAAGTAATAATTACTAAATAATTAATAATAAAAAGTAAAGTGTGAATTAAATGCAAAAAAAAAATATAATCGAGTTTCTGTTTGATCTGCTGCGAGTTCAACTTGGATTACCTATACTTTTCCCAAAGAGTGTATTACCCAATAATATTTTGGCTGTTACTCTGGATGAAATATCAGCGAAATGAAATAATTTAAAACTATTCTTATTTTTCCTTTGTATATATTTGTTCCAGGTTTCAAGGGAAAAATATAGAAAAATATACGTTTATATTATGTTACATGTGTTTAAAAATGGTATAAACAACTTGTAAATTTTTTAACTTGTCGACAAATTATCAAATTTAAAATGTCATCAAACACAACTTTTTAAATATGTATTTTGCATCATAACCAGCTTACGTATGATCTGTAGTCTTATTTACAAGAGTTATTCATATGAATTGGCTAATCGCACGGTTCATATGTTTTATTCGTTTTACATCTACAATGGTCTATTACATATAAAGGAAATATTATAAAATTGTGAGCAGTTTTAATAAATTTTTTTTTTGGAATTGTTTGATATCAAAGCAACATTACCGGGAAATTTTTTAACAACACACAGTTTCATTTGGAATTCATATCCAGAGTATTTAGATGATCATCAAATGTTATTAAAGTAATCATCGAATTTTTATACTACTTCAAAATGCATCATTTTTATACTACACTTTTATTAAAAAATTTTTACTGTTTATAAGTTGCATTTTAAATTTATTGTAATAAAACTACAATTTAATGCTCAACAACATGTTTATATTAGATATGGAAAGATTTTTAATGTTTCTCTTTTTTTGGGTTATTATTGTACTTATATTTTGAAGTACCTAAAAAAATATATTTTAATTTATTGCCGTCAATTTTTATGGATCTTATTCAAAAGTTTAATATATAACATGGATAAGCTTTTTGCGATATATTGAGGGGAGCATGTTTTTGGATACTCTAAAGTAAAAAATGGACGTTATCAATATTATTGCTACTATGTAAAATGGATTTCAACATTTTAATTTAATTTTCTTCAAATATAACGAAGATTGAGGATGCTATTTACAACACAAAGTTAAAATACATAATTTTTTTTAAATAATAGAATTTACTACATCTTGAATCGTCACTGCATTTTGATTTTATAAAAATGTATATCTTTGTTTATTACCTATCAGCTGAAATATTCATTTCAAATTGAATTTGCAAGAAGACCGCAGCATTCTATCATGTTAGTGTGAATTATGTGATAATGCATCAATCAGTATAGTTATCAATAAAATAGATTTATTTAGCTTATTTATATTTTAAAAATAAATGTGGATTTATTAAATAATTATGTAAATTAAAATCACACAACAGGTAAGAATATTTTTTTTAAATGTATGTATATTTAACAGAGATGAAAATTATGAATATTTTTGTTTAAGATCAGTAAATATTTTTATTTATTAAATACAAAAAAAAATACCTTTTTATAGGTAATTAAAGTATTACTTTCGGTTCAGTTTTAAATATCAGATGTGTGAAATGTTTGAAGCACCTGCATTATTAGAAAATATTATTTTTTGTTAAACACTCATTGTAATTTTATAATTTTAATATTTATGTATTCAATTAAAATTAAAGAAATTCAACATTAAATCAGCTTCAATTCATAATAAACTAGTAATGTAAGGCAATTATATTATAAAAGATAAAATTATGTTTGAGTATCTAATAAATACCTTATGTAATTTTGTCTTTTAAATATTCTTCTTTTAAACACGAAGTGTACTGAAAAATTTATTTGATAAAGGAACTTAATAATAGTATTATTAAATATTCCAGTTTCAATAACTTAGATTAATCATGATCATTCCCCAATTAATGAAATTTTTGAATGTTTTACGATTGTAGTATGTGGCAAATGTGAACGAAACCCTTAAATTCCAAGTACAATAAATTCCCTTAAAAATTTGTTTATGTTTTTAAAACGTTTTTGCGAAAAAATATATGATTTATTGAATTTATATTAGAATGATTTTAATTTAATAAAATCCAAATAGATCTACACATTTTAATAGTTTAAATAATCTTAAATTAAAAATTAATTTAACAAAGAACTTTCTTCTCCGTTTGAAAATTTAACTCATATTAGAATATTTTTATAACGTAATTGTTTCAATCGTCTAATTTTATTTGAAAAATTTTAATTTTTTTGAAGAGTAGAAAGATGATAGATTTTATTACACTATATCATTTGCAATTTTTGAACAAAAGGAAAGAGGAAAAGAAAAGGAAGAGGCAAAAATAAAGAATGTCGATATTTAAAATAGCACAAAGACAAAATAAAATACCAAAAAAAAAGTAATTTCTATTTACTAATAAATTAATTTGAAATTTATATTTTTTTTATAAATATTACTTATACCTTTGCCCAATATAACTTTATACTTGAGTATAAGAGTAACTAGTCTTTTATTTTTACTTTGTATTATTTTAAGTATGAATCTTTTGTAAATTCTCTGGAGAGTTTTATATTTTTCAATCTTTCTACTCTTCCTGAAACTTAAGCAGGTGAATTATAGACGATATTAAATATTGGGCACCATACTATTCAAGACACGTGAATATTAAAAATTAATTGTTCAAATCAAATTGGAATAAAATAAAAATAAAAATGCTGTTTTTCGATTATTATATTAGAAAAAAAATAAAAAAATTTTTTCATTGTTATTGCAAACTTAAAAAAAAATTATTTTCATTATATTTTAGACAAAGTCGCAGTCCTTCGCCTCGTAAAAGATCATTCAAACGAGAATTAAATAGTGAAGACAAAGATTATGAATGGGGCGGCAGCAGACGCCGCCGTTCCAGGTCAAAAAATTCAAGAGGATCACGTGATTCCTCTGGTGGTCCACCATCTGAAAAACAAAAACCTACTTTTGCTTTAAGTGGAAAATTAACTGAGGATACCAATACTGTTAATGGCGTTGTTATTAAATATGCTGAACCACCAGAAGCTAGAAAACCAAAACGACGATGGCGTTTATACCCGTTTAAGGGTGAAAAAGCAATGCCAACTTTATATATACATCGACAAAGTGCATATTTAATTGGCCGAGATCGCAAAGTTTGCGATTTACCAGTTGATCATCCTTCATGTTCTAAGCAACATGCTGTTTTACAATATCGTCTTGTTCCATTTGAAAGAGAAAATGGTACTGTTGGAAAACGTGTTCGTCCATATATTTTGGATTTGGAGTCAGCTAATGGAACATATTTAAATAATAAACGTATTGAATCGAAAAAGTATTTTGAACTATTAGAAAAGGACGTTATAAAATTTGGATTTAGTTCAAGGGAATATGTTTTGTTACATGAAAATAGTAAAGAAGATGAATTGGATGACGACGTATATGACGATATTCCAATAAAAAAGGAAAGGAATTAAATTTATTACTACGATGATTTTTATTGATATTTATTCAAAAGTTCATCAAGGATATTATTGACAAAAAAATCAATCATCGTATCTTCAATATTATAACAATAATCAGAATTTATGAAAAAATTATCATCGTCGTATTTTTTTCTTAGATATTAAGAGTGTAATTTTAAGAATTATCATCTCCAAATGAAAATTAAACACAGTCCATCAAAATAGATTGAAGAATTTAACAAAATTTAAGTAAATTACATTTTAATTGTATTCACGATTGCAAATTCATAAAATTTCAGTCTAAAAAAAAAAAATAAATTTAATAAAGTTGTTTGTGTTTCTTCTTTTTAAATTAAATATATATATATATATATATATATGTATATAAATATAGAAAACATTTAGGAAAATTAATTTACAGTTATCTTGTAATTATTTGTTCTGAAATGTTAAGTTTTATAAAACAGTAGTCTTTAGTTTTTACGACGTTTACGTTTGTATTGTTAAATGCTCTTTAGATTGTTTTTATGATATTATAAGCAACATTTTAATCCTAAAACTATGCAATTTGCACGAAATTTCAAATTTTTTTTTTTATATTTTATCACGCAACGAACGTAAACTTGGAATTTCAAATTTTTTGCATAAAAGCTTCATTTTGCATCATTTATATAATTATATGAAACTTGAAATAAATTGTAGTTCTTAAAATTATAATTCTTTCGTATTTTTATCCAACTTAAAAATTAGATTTTCTATAATGCTCTAGTCATCGGCAGATTTTCTTAGGATAGATCAAAACAAAATAATCTAAATACATGTGTAAATGAAATCAAAAACGGGACGGGGATTGAGTAAATAAAATTGAAAAAAAGAAAAACTGATTTTTCAACTGATTATTCTTGTTTCGATAAAATTTAAAGTAATAAATTTTATTTTTAATATAATCTACTTAGTGCACATGGATAAAGAAAGATTATTTTAATGTAGAACTTAAAATAAATTTATTTAAAAATCAGTTTCTACTTTAAAAAAATACTGTTTGCTATTAAATAAACACGATGTATGGTTAGCGCAATTTTTCAGATAGTCAAAATTATTCTGCTGCAGGAAGTTATTTCTAAATTCATAGTATTTGGACAAGTAGGTAGCAGTTTTATTTTTATAACCGTGAGAGTCCATTTCAAGGTGTAAGATTTTTTAGGGAAAGAATTTTGTGTTACTAAAAAAAAGAGTGTTTATTACCTCATTTGATACTTTCATACGATACGTTTAATAGAATATGGAAGACAGTCTTTATTGTAAATATCTCGTAATTTGTTTTTGCGGATTCAATGTTACTGAAAATTTGGAAAAATATGGGGACGGGAAAGGAGAAGTTGCTTTCGTGATGCAGTTTTCAAAGCGAATAAAGAATACCTTAAAACAGAAGAAGAGTATGTGTAATAAAAAATTTTGGATGCCGAAGAATTACATGAGTATGTTACAAATAAAAAAATAAAATATTCAGTTTCTGCAGATTTGTAAGGGTGCATGAAAAAATTTCTTAAGACTTAATTTAGAATTTTCAGTGTATGTTTGAATTATCGAAAATCCCCTATGTATTAAAATAGAACCGACTGAAATTGTAAACATATAATATAATTTTCAAATTACTTTTTATATAAATAATAAATATTGTTTATATAATAATAATAAATACATATTAATTAATTTTTCAAATAGTTTTCCCATACTTCTTTCGATACATGAATAAAATATGCATTATTAAAGAATAAAACATTTTCTTTTTTTATTTCAAAAATTCTTTTATTTTAAATTATAGTTTTCAATCTTAAAAATTAATTATTTAGCTTAATATTTAATTAAAAATTAAAATCATAAAATAATCATGCTAATATTTTTTCTCTTTTTCTTCTGATACTAATTTTTTCATATTTTAAATTAATATTTTATAAAAATATAAAGTATTTTTCAAGTTTTATTTTTTTTGAATTATTCTATTAAAAAAAAAATTACCTTAATTTAATTTTAGATATTTAACTACTAGAATTTTATATATTATAATTTATTGGAGTTTTTGTATTTTATTAATTCTTAAATTTGTAAATGTTAAAATTTTCTAAAAATAATTTTCTTTTCAAATAATAATGACTTTCGTAAATTTATATTGTTAATCTATAAAAAAAACATCGTTTTATATTATGCGTAAATTAAAAATTAAATGATAAAAAAAACATCTTTAATATAAAGGTGTTAAATTTTCGATATTCGATTTTCATTATCTAATATAATTAAAATATAGTACGTATTTATGTATAAATGTATATTTATTGTGTTTTAAATGTACAATATTCACTTTATTCAAGTTATTTAATAAAATTTGTTTTTCCACTATAGATACATTAAGTGAAGAACATTTAAAATTTTTTACGTACTGTGCATGTTATTAAATTTTAAGATATTGAATCATATGTTAGTTGGTGGAACAGCCGAAATTATAAAATATAATCATTATAATAAGAAAACTTAAATTATTTCCTCAGTAAAGAACATCTTTAAATATTGGCGCTTTTAGTCGTAGGGTGATCGTTTAAATTTAATAATTCGAAATTAGAATTAGTTTTAATTTCATACTGTAAATCAAGGAAGAAGGAGCTTCTTTTACAAAATTTTTGAACATTTTCAACCTTTCTTATATTCCTCAAATATAATATATTTAACGTTTAGATTTTTATTTTTTAGTAACAATGCAGTAAAATTAAATTTTAATTAAGAAAAACATATTGCCAATATTAATAAATTTTTGTAATTCAGTTATTTTAAGCATTTATCGTAAATTTTTTTAAATGTTCTTTTATCTTAACTTAAATTAGTATCATAAGCATTAATATTTTTTAAAAAAATTCGAAAATAAATTGTTTTTTATTTTAAAAATTTAAATATACTTAAATATTTTTGATATGTTAATGACCCTTTTTAATTCTGGGTTAATTTAAAAAGTTCTATGAAGGCACAATTGGTTTACCATTTTTGATTAATTATTTTTTTTATTCGTGAAAAATTTAGGTGAAAAATTTAAGAAGTCAATCATGAATTTTTAATTATGTTAACATTAATTAATTAATGTAAATTTATTGAAATATATTTTTGAAAATAAAAATTTTGGTTAAATTTCTCTAGATTAAAATTAAAAATTCACGATTGAGTTGGGTAACAAAAATTTTCAAAATTATTTTCATCTTATTTTTCATTTTATATATTTAAATATCTTAAAATTTAACAATATAATAATTAAATACAATTTTTATTATAACTTAAACGTAAAATATTTTATAATTAGTGAAAAATTATTTTAATAGTCTTTGGTTAAAAGAATTTTCATTTTTTATTTAATAGGTAAAAATGTAGTACATTATATATATTGTCTTTTTTTTTGCATTTATATACAAAACATAATAATATTGTCAGTTCATTTTATTAAAATTTATTAAAACTATTATACAATAATATGGTATAAGATACTCTGTTCTAATTTAAAATATAATATTTTATTTTATTTGTACCGACAATAAAAAATGGCAATGATAATTATGCTATAATTCGCGGTAAATAGAAATAAAACTAAAATTTTTTAATCAGTTTTTCAAATAAAATTTACAAAATTGGAATTTACAATTTGTGGCTAGAACAAGTTTTAATTTTAATTTTCATTCTTTCACGTATGTATTATTAATTCAAGAACATATTACATAGAAAGTAATATATAGAATCGTATATTAGAAAATTTTGTAATAAAATTGTATTATTCAAATTTTTAAAAACGTATTACAGAAAGCATAATTTGCTTTTATCAAATAATCTTACCGCAAATTCTTTAACGTCAAAATTTTGATTTTAGTCTGCAAACTGTCTGAAACTAAAACTTTTACGGACAGAAATGTAGTAAACTTTTTACCCGTAATTGACTTTGAATTTTGATCATCCGTAAACGTCAAAAAAAAAATTTTTTTTAGATTTAAAATAATTTTATACTTACATATTAAAAATTAATAAAAAAAGTATTTTTTATATTATTTTTAACGTAATGATAGTCACTCAATACATCAAATTTATTTACTGAATTACTACGTCAGACTGTCTGCATGTAAAACAAAAAATCTACAATTTTGACGCTTAATTGACTTTTTTTAAACGTTTAAGAATTTAAACTTTGACTGAGAGTAAAAACGTAGTAGAGTATCCGTAAACTCAGACAACTCAGATTTTGTAAAATTTGACGTTTAAGAATTTACCATTATTCTTGTTCGTCTAACAATATGCCTTCAATTTAATTACATGTTTACAAATTCTACGAATATAAGAAAGCAATCTGTTAATTATACAAATTTTATATAAAATTTTTAAATTGAATTTAATATTTAAATAAAATAAAATGTTATTTGTACATTCCGAATTAATTAGATGAGGTTTTTATTACACATACATATTTTAATATTGTGTTTTGAATTAAATTAATTTTTATTCAATCATTATTGTAATTGTTGCGAATGTTACATACAATAATCAGAAGTAGAAATTTTTAAAATCAATAAGCATTGGTTGTATATCTTAATGGCAATATTATCTTGTAGGTAATATTGCTATTAAAATTTTCTTTAAAAAGGTTTTAAAAATTGTATGTTTAATTTGTACTAAGTAGGATATGAATAAAAAGAAACTTAGGCAAATGATTTAAATTTTTGACTAGAAATAATTATAATTCAAACATCATAGTGATGTTTAATAATTAAATTTTGTGTTCCTTTTGCTTTAACCATTTTTGCTTTTATGGGTTTATCTAAAATGAAATATAAATTAATAAAAATTAGCAATAGGGACTTTGTTTCTTGCATTAACAATCTGTTAAAATCAATTACTCACATTCAAAAAATTAAAAAACTTTGTGGTTAAAACATACATTAGAAGAATGTTTAAATTTTATATAGTATTTTAAAAGTCTTAATAGACATTACTATATTATTAAATGTCAAGTACGCGATTTAATTAATTTGTTATAATATTGTTAATTTAAATTTGACACCATTTTCCAAAAATCAATGACTTACGTAACATAAATTTCATTCCAAATTTTTATAATTTTTTTTACGTTTTTTCTTTTTCTAAAATAATTGCATTTAAATTTCTATTGAATTTATTAAATGTAAAATAATTTTAATAAACTAGGTAACAAGTATGCGTCCATCTTCATTTTGTAATTCTTTACTACTTTTACTATAATCTAAATTATTTGTTTCATTACTATTATTATTATCATTATTGTTATTATTATTAATATTACTATTTATGGTTGTCGTTGTATTGTTATTATTATTATTATTAACTACAACACTATCTTTATATAATTTTTTATAATTTATTTTGTTATTATCTATATTATTATTATTATTTTGTGATGGTAAGTTAACTTTTAATATTTGATTAGTATTTAATAAACTTAAATTATTATTTTCATTACAATTATTATTATTACTATTAATATTTGTATTATTATTAATTAAATTATTACAATTGTTATTACTAAGTCTTTTACATAATATTTTTGGTGAACAATTATCGCCAACACCTCCAACACTTATTGTTGAAGAATTTGATATTGTTCGTTTATTTTTATTATTATTATTATTTGTGCTAATACATTCTGTTATACCATTTGGTATATTTGAAATATTATCAAATATTTTATTATTGTCATTACTAAATGTTGTTAATGATTTAACAATTATTGGACTTGTAAACGAATATGTTGTTGGGCATTCAATTGTTTTTGTTGTTTCCGTTGTTAATAAATCATTATTAGCCATTGTACCACATGGTACTAATTCTTTACTTGGTATTGGTACCTCATATTGATTGCTTGGATTTGTTGGTGATTTATTGTCTGTTGGTGTTGCATTTGCATCATATAAAATTTCTAAATATTTTGGTGTAATTGTTTGTGTTGATGAAGCTGGTGTTAGGATTGCTGGTGTTTCCAAATTTTCTAAAGATCTACAATTATTATCTGAAGCCGAAAATTTATCTGAATCTATAAAATAAAACATATTTTAATTGCGATAGTAGTAATTTAATAATAATTTTAAAATGTATTTTTAAAAGATTATTTAATTGTAATTTAAATAGATTTTACGAAATCTTATCGAATTAAGTAATGTAATATGTTGATAAAACATAATTTGAATTCTACTCAACTTCCCATGCATCGTTGCTGGTAATAAGAACGATAAGATTTCGAAAAATTCATTTTCATTCAATTCGAAATTTGCAAAACTTAACAATCATGATTCAGAACATTTGAACAAGGTGTAAAAAAATGAAATAACAACAAAATAAAGAGAGTGAAGTGGTTGTTATTTTAAATAACCTACCTTCGAATTCAATATTGTGATTATGGTTGAAATCTGATCCCAGATATGAAGGGTTAAAAATGTCACCTAAAAAACGTGTTTCATTTTTTCGTTATGATTTCCAACTATATTTTAATGTTATTTTTTAAGACGCAAACAAAACAAATGATTATATTTAAAAGCAATAATGTGATAATACATGTATACAAGGTACTTTTTAAGTTTCCAATTTAAATGATTTTCCATAACAATAATTTTTCTTTACAATAATTATCACATGCATTTACGAAATAATGAATTTTTTTCCAACATGCAATTTAATGACTTACCATTAGGTAAACGATTACTATTTTCATTACACAACAATTGATATGATTTACTTGTACTTTCTTTTAAACACTCCAAAACTTGCAAACAATATCTAAATGTTGGACGATTTGCTGGCCTATAGCTCCAACATTTCAACATTAATTGATATCTGAAATTATAAATAAATTAATTATTTTATCAACTTATTTTTTTTAACAAATTTACAATTCTCTAGGACAACCAGTTGGTTTTTCCAGTCTTCCACCATCTCGAACATAATCTAATACTTCAAAATTATTTCTAGCTGGATATGGTTGTTGTCCTAAAGTCATAATTTCCCAACATAAAACTCCGAACGCCCATATATCAGATTGTGATGTAAATACTCCATCAACTAAACTTTCAGGTGACATCCATCTAACTGGCAGTAAACCTTCGCCAACTTTTCGATAGTAATCATTTTTGTATATATCTCGTGCCAAACCAAAGTCTCCAATCTTAACGACTCTTTCATGCGGATTTAATGATGATACTAAACAATTTCGGCACGCTAAATCACGATGAACGAAATGCATTTCTTCTAAATATCGACAGCCGGATGCAACATCGACACACAATGATACTAAATCTAGTAAATTTAATGAAGCTGGAGCACCCTAAAATAATAAATTGAAAATTGTAATCAAGTATTAATTTAAATTCATAATTTTTTTCAATTTACATTCTGCGGCCTAGATGAGCGCAGGTAACTTAAGAGATCACCACCTTGCATAAGTTCCATTATTATATATAGTGATTCACAATCAAAACAAACTCCAATTAATCTTAAGATATGTTCATGCTTAAAATTACTCATAAGTTGAGCTTCTTGAAGGAATTCAAATTTCTCTTGTTCCAAAGCACCTTTTCTAAGGGTCTTTTATGTTTGAATATAAAGACTGAATTTTAAAATACAAAATAATAATGAATTTACAAAGTTACCTTAACAGCAACTCTTATGTTTATATGATCATCAGACCGTACGATGCCCTCATAAACTTCACCAAAAGCTCCACTACCTAAGAAATTGGTCATCGTAATTTGATCACGTCGTATTTGTGGGAGTAATGCAACATCGGCATCTGTTAATGGATGAGGCATATAGAGTATATTGGTTTGTTGAATAAAATTCCCACCTCGTGGTAATTCACGTAAATTAGCCAACTCAACGTCCATGAATCGATTATTCGCCTGTTGGAGGATCTTCTTTGGTGTTGTACATCGGCGATGAACTGTTTTGCATGGTAAATTTGATTCGTTAGTTAATTAAATAAAGTTGATTTGAACATTTTATTTTTTATTTTATATAAAAATTCTTACCAAAAACAATGCAGCTTATTATAACAACAAATCCACATAAAAATATTGGAATTCCAATAGCGAAAACTAAAGTTTCATGTCGTTGTGGGGAGCTATAGGGCTCGCTAATAGCTTCTGTTTCCTGACTATAAGGACCCCATCCATATGAATTTCTTGCTCTCACTCTAAGTGTATATTCATTTATTTTACTATCATGTTTAATGCAATGATTCTCTGTAACATTACAGTAAATAAACCATTTTTCAGACTTTTGTTGAGGTTCTTCAACTGAACTAGTATGTTGTAATATTGATGTGTAATTATCATCAGCATCGGAACTGTTATATATAATGACTTCGGTGCTATTATTTAAATTTTCAAGGTCTTCATTTTCGTAGTCATCATCTGATTTTTGTAAAAGCGATGTATCTTCAGCGGATCTTCTTGTTCTTCGACCATTTGACTTTACAGGCAAAGCTTCTAAATTGTATTCCTCTATAAAAGCACCATTATCACGTGCTGGTTCCCATGATATTTTAATAACATCTCCCCCAACAGGAATTACTCTAGGTTTTCCCGGGGAACTTGGACAATCACCTAAAGTTTCGAAAAAGAAGCGATCTTCAGGTGGCCAAACATATGATTTTTCATGCTTTGAATAAAATAATCTTGCAGAAAATCTATACGTAGTCTTTGGTTCCAATTCTGATATTAAATAGTTATGTTCATTATCAATATTTAAAAAGGAAAGGTCGGTTGAATCAAAAACAGTCATTACTGTTCGATTGCCTCTTATGTTACATTCGAGTACGTATTTACTAACATCTTTTGGCGTTATCCAATGTAATTTCATGTATGTCGAACCAATTTCTTTTATGGTTATATTTTCGGGTTCATCAAACATTTCAATTTCTACACGTTCACTTGAAGTGTATGTTGTATTTGAAGAATAGGCTAAAATCCACAAAGTGTATTGATGACTTGGTAATAGTTTTGTTAATTTGAATGAAATTCTTTCGGGGTCCAATGGATCAAGAATAAATTTGTCTTCAGTTATTGGGCTTTGATGCTTATTACTTTCTGTTTCGTAATGTATTTCATACCAGATCGATTCGCTATTCATTTCAAGTGGTTTCAACCATGTAACCATAGTTTCTGTGGGACTAATTGGCTCTGCTTCGAGATCTCTGGGTGAAGATGGTGGACCTGGAGCTGTTAACAAAATTATGTTTTCACTTTCAAACATTTTAAGTCCTAATCGTTCGGCATAATAATTAGTAACAGACACTCTCACCATGTATTTTGTAAATGATTTTAAATTTCTTACTTCAGTGATTGGCTTATAAGCTGTAATCATTTTCCATTTCGTTGTATTGCGGAATTTTGGATCAATAGGGGAATATTCAATTAAGTATTTTATACCAGTCAATTGCAATGAACAATCAGAATAAGGCTCAAGAAGCGGTAGTTTCAAAGTTAAACTGTGCTCTGTTTCTTTTATGAGTTCAGGAATTTCTGTACCGCTTCGAACTTGTTTTGGTAATAAACATTGCATTTCTGGATAGCTTTGATAATTAAATGCTAGAGCATGGGATATCTTTTTGTTAAAATTAACTTGATATTTTAATTTATATCTTGATGATCTTATAATGATTGTTTCGTTTCTAATTATATAAATGTTATCGCTATCTTTAACAATCTGTCTAACTGAATTCTTCATATTTAATGAATACTTTTCTTTGGTTAAAATGCTACACATTTTTGATTTTAGTCCGTACATGTACATTTGATCATCAATATGTATTAAAACTAAATTGTTTTCCTTCCAACTAGGAGTATCTAACAGAAGAGTTTTTATTACGAGTGTTCGATTACATTTTGTTTTGATTTGATCTTCTAATTCCATTTCAGCCTTCTCATGCAAATCGTATTGAACTAACCTACCGTATCTCGCATAAAAATTGTCAAATTCCAGCCAAAACAATTTTTGGTCAAAAGGTGATATTGTAAGATTTCTTATGTAACTTGAGCTTGAATGTAATTTTTCGCCTAATAATGGCTTGCCTTCAAACTGATTTAAATCTAATCGATAAATTGAACTTTTTAAGCCATTTTCGATTTCAGTTTGTGACCAATAGATAATTCTTTGTATCCAATCTACGGTTAATGACAAAATTTCATTATTTATTACAGCTAATTTAATTTGTTTCCTATCATTAGCTTTTAGTGAAACTAAATTGTTATCGTCAAACCAAAAAATACGTTTCTCTAGTTCAATATAAGCTAAGTAATTTACTGGATAACCTGTATGGATTATCGATCGCGTCATATTCAAGTCTAAATCAAATTCTTCGATACGATTTGATTCGGCAATAAGAAGTTTTGGAATAGGTTGTTCTATACTTGAATTTACATGAATAGGAAATGTTCTATTACCTCCTTCAACAGAAGTGAAGGCTTGAATTTGGAAATAGTAGGTTATATTGTTTAAAAGATTCGAAATGGATGCGAATTCTTCTTTAATGTTCTCTAAACGTATATTTTTCTCTGTTCCATTTACTTTATACCATCCATAAATGCTATAAGATTTTATTAAACCATTTGGTCGTTCTGGAGGATTCCATCTTAATGTCGCTGTAATATTTCTACCTCCTGTGAATGGATTATGTGAATGCGTAATAAATATACGTTCCTTGGTAGGTTCTGATGGTGCAGCGGCTGGAGAATATAAATCAACAGTTGTAAATTTAGAAGCAGCCCAATAAGTATATGCTCTAATATTAATATTAAGTGCAGTATACGGCATAATCTGTCCGGCTGAATAATAGAAATAAGGCATTAGTGTATCGTTTGGTGTTGCTATTTCAATAGTATCATTTTGAGGTTTTACTTGAATTTTTATTTCATAAAATACTTTTCCATAATTTACTGTATAAACTGGAGACCACGTTATATTAAATGAGTTCCACAGTCCATCAATTCGTACAGAAGAAGCGTCAATAGCTTCTGGGATAACATTCAATTTTTTCCTTGATATTCCTTTAGGGTATAGACGATGACTGGGATCCAATACTGATACCGACTGCAACTGTATTACCTTGTTTTCATATAACAAATTTAATTTCGCTAAATTTTCGCCGGAAATATCGCCAACAATTACTGTCGAATTATTTTGCATCCATAATAAGCGATCACTAAAATGTGTAAGAAAATTTGAAGGTGAATCTTGTCTTACAAGAAATGTTCCTAATGGAATTTGTTGAATTCTCCGATCTTCATTCCATTTATTTGCCATGTTTGCTATGTATAAATCTGGGTTATCACCATAACGACGTCCTATCCAATACAATTTTTCATTTTCAATATCCAAGGTAAGTCCCATTATGTATCCAGTGCTATGTTGGAATGTTGTGTAGTGTATTTTGTCTTTACCATTTAAATGACATGCTTCTATACTATTTCCCGTTGAATAATAAATGTGACCGTTAAGAGAATCTATTCGGATCTCTTTAACTGAATACGTTGGAAGTATATATTCACGATTTTGTCCATCAAAATTTGATCTAGAAATCTAAATGAAAAGCTTTAATTTTTAAAATGAAACAAAAAAGATTTGGTAATACTTACAAAACTTTGTGTTGGACTGGACCAATATATTTTTTTTCCAATCCAATCAATACCAATATTTTCAACTTCATTTGCATACCAAACGTTCATCACATTATTGGCTGTTCTATTTAATATTGTTAATTTAGAGTTACTAACGAAAAATAGTAAATCTTCAAACCACTCAATATCAGTAACATTTCCATAAGAAATATCAGAGAACGATTTCAACAATGTAGCATTTTCACCAATAATATCTGTTTGATAAAGGCCATCGCTGGACGACCAAAACAGATAACGATCTTCACTAGATTTCAATGTTTTCGCTTTAAACTCAGTACTATAAGGACTATATCCACTTGATGTATAAGCGGCTGCTAAAAATGTGTAATTTGTATCTGGTTTTAAATTATAAACAGTGTACTGAGTTTCCGATATATTCACAAAAGAATGATGAACTATTGTATTATCCATAACTTTTAAAACATACTCCCATTTTTGCCATGCACCTTTACCTTGGTGACCTAATAAATACGGTATATCCCATGTTACCTTTGCAGTTGTTGAACTTAAAAGTGCTTGTATTTCCCTCGGCGGTGAGACTGGAACAGGAATTGGTTGTGATGATGGTAAATTGACAGCTACTGATATAAAAGTTTCATTTTGTATTATTGGAAACGAATTATGATAATATTTGTCTTCAGCTTCATGACGATCTTCAGTAAATAGACTTATTCCATTTGTCCAATAGAATATACCATTCGCCATTGCTAATGATTTTACGACAGATAATTGTGGTTTTTGTGTATTATTACGAATTTCTTCTTTACTGTTACCATCGAATGACACAGAGTATATGTTATTATTTGCTAAAGCTGGTATTAACAATTTGAACTTGTTGAAATCAACAACAAAAGCCCCTAAACTTTCACCTTGTAACAAATGGGAAACAGTTGTTGAACGTTTAACTCCGTTTGAAATATCAGCTAAATCCATTTTGTAAAGACCAGCATCCATAGCTTGATAACCAGGTATAATCCAATATAGAAAACCATTAACCGGATCAACTTGAATATGACTTGGTTTGGTTGATAAGCCGGCATAAGCTACTGTTAAGCTGCTGCCATCAAGATTACAACGTGATATTTGATATTGTGATTTCTACGTTTATGAAAATGTAAATTCTTTTAAAAATGTGATTTTTTTAATTTTAAGAGACAAATTTTACCGAGTGTTCCAATTTTGCTAACATATACAAATGATCATTTAACCAGTCAATGGTTAATAAAGAAGGCACAAAATTGACATTCTCAGAATCAGCTGTTAAAATGATTTTTGTTGGTCCATGTACTCCTAAAGTTGTTCTAACTACTCTTTTTGTAACATCCGATATAAAAAGTAATGATTTAGCAATATGAATTGCAATGCCCAATAATTTATGTTCGCTGTGATAAAAAACTTTTGAATTTCCACTTAAAATATCAGCATCTTGAAACATTACAGAATATTCTGTTCCTAAAATTAATTTTGGTTCCGGTTCGTTTTGATATAGAAGAGGAGCATCTAAGGTTTTAATGCTACGTTTTGCTTTTGGACCCTCACCAACAGCGTTTCTCATTGATATTTCAATTGAATAATTTTTAGCCGGTTGTAATTTATCAAATATATAAAAACTGACATTTTCAGACGCTGAGATCTCCTATTTAGTATAATAATTAAATTTAAATTTTCTATTGTTCTAATTTTAGAAAATATATTTTCATAGAATCATAAAAGGAAATTAAGTGCATAATAGTGGAAAGAAGAATATTTTAAGTGATGTGTAATGTGAAAAGGCCATTCTCTGTAATGCAAAACAACACAAGTGATTTATTTTTCAAAGAAATGTAGGCACACTTCAGTATAGACAAGACGAAATTTGAAAAGTAAATGGTTTTGTTTTTTCCCTTTTTTAACGTCACAATGTGCTAATGCATGCATTTATAGTGTGATATAATTTAACATTTGTATGTATATGTGTGTAAAATGAAAAATGACATTTTCAAAACTAATGATATTCAAGCGTTAAAAAGATTTAAATGCAGTATAGTTTTTAAATATCAATAATACAATGAGTTTCAATTCTACGACAACACTATTCAAATACTATAACGTTGTATTTTATGTCATTATTTTGTTTCAAGTACAAGCTGTTATAATATACTTGATTTGCACAAAATACAGCTACTATAATTTTCAATTATTTTGTGTTTAACGCTTTCGGGAAATTCGGCGCCAATTATTATCGCGTTCCATTCCAATTTTCACATGTTTTTATTGGAGAAATAAGGAAGCTCGTACAGTAAAGTATGAACTGTTTTCACTTGCATGATATAATTTTTATTTCATAGCAATTTCACTTTAAAATGCGAGTGTAACCTACAAAGTATTTGTAATTTATTAAACAACATGCAAAAAGCAGTTAAATTATCAATTTAAAAACAACAAAAACATTTAAATCTTTTGTTTATCGCCCTAAAATATGCCATAATTTATGTGAGCGTATAATTTTGTTTATCGCATCGCAATCATGTATGCATACTGTAGGATCACACATAATTCACAAATACTGTTATTAATATTCGAAAGCAAAATTTTATATGAAATGTAGGTGAGTATGTAATAATATGTAAATATGTATGTTTGCATTCCTATATGTATAAGTATTTATTAAAATTGAGATAAACAAAAAAAAAACTTAATACAAAAATTTGTTTGTTGTTAATTGTTGTGAATGAAAAACGGATGTAAAATTAACATGCAGAGATGAAAAGATAAAAAGATCCATCATGCTGATTTCATATTGTCATTTATGTATATGCTGATATTATGTATAAAGATTTATAATGCGTATTTACAATATTCTACCATAATATCGTGTTAAAATGTTAAAATCAATTATGTTATGCACTATTTTTCAAACTGTAAGAAAAGCAATAATTTTTTATTATAAAAAATAAATTTCGATAAGAAACTTCTGTTTATAGAATATTTAATAAATTTCGAAAATTAAACAAGATTTGTTCAGTTTTTCGGAAATGTGCGTATGGTACATGTGTATATTTTAAATAGACTACAAACTCAATATAGTTTTTGAATAAATACTTAAGAATTAAGATTTTTATGAAAGACGATAACAAGGAAATTAAAACATTGTACAAAAAGTATGCAAAAACTGACTACTAATTTCGAGAAGTAGACTTTTACTATTTATTAGGTTCAGAATATAATTTCGAAATATTTTTTTTTCAATAAATCTAGAATACAAACTGTAGCTTCATGCCGGGAAATTATCACTGAGTGCTCCTTAACAATAAGAATAATTGAAAACATAAAAAAGCAATAAATGCGAATAAAAAAGAATGGAGGCGAAATGACACATTAAGGCTGTAACTTTGTCAAAATTTAGAAAAATTTAAGGAGTTTTGTATTGTGTGTAGCAATTGTTATAACTTTTTGTGAAGGACCTGCATAAAACGCTTAGTTCTTCTGATTTTAATTTGTCTGAATTTCCGATATCAATTTTCGAAAATAATTTACATTTCTTACTCAAAATTAATCTACTTTTTAATATGGATGTAAACTATACATATTTTATGAAATCCTGCGTATATCCTAAGACAAGTGTATTGCAATAATTAATAGATAATGTGTCAAAATACTGTTATTATTATATTCATTTTATAATTTTAATATTTGTACTCATATTACAATTTTTCTCAAATTCTACTCTCCATATACGTATAAATATGTATGTGTAGATGTAGTTCTGGTTTATGTACCGGAAATGTCTCCAATGATTTTTTTTTCTCCCTAAATAATAATAATTTATTATTTGTTTTTTTACTTTTTTTTCATTTAGGTTCCATTGAAAAAAAAAAGCATAGTGCCATTGTGTTATTATTTTTGTTGCGTTTGGATGCTGTTTCAAAATTAAACCCGCGTCCTATATGATTTTATTATTATTTTTTTTTTTTGAATAACAACGGTACACATAACTGTATATCAGGATTTCTTTTACTTTGTAAGTATTATAGTAAATATTGTTGTTATTTTATGTTGCTATACTACTAACGCATATTTATTGTTGTTCCCCCCTTACAATTATGTAGAATTTTTACATAAATTTGTGAATTTAACACTCTATAACTTATGTTTTCGGATTAATTTTAGAAATTTTTTTTCTTTTTTGGAAAATATGTATGTATGTTTGATGGCTGTTGATGATCAGCTAATTAGTGACAATTTCAATTGAAATTGAACTAAATTAAGAAAAGCAACAAGAGAAAAGAAAAATAGATGCATTCAATTCTGTGAAAAACTGGACCGATGACTTACTTGAAACTGAATGTTTTTACTAAAAAAAATATTTTTAGTAATTGATTTATTTAAAATAAAAATATAATAAGAGAATAGAGAAATGCTAATTGAAGTAAGCAATTTGAATAGTATGGAGACTCTAGTAATAAATACATTTTTAGTATTGTAGAAAACGGAAAATTAAAATAAAATTTTAAAAGGAGGGATGATTGAAATGTCAAAAATAAAAATACTAAACATAATTGTTTTGTTGCTTTGTTTTTGTTTAAATGATGTTTTCTGTCAGTTCTTATTGTTAAATGTTTGTTTGTTATTAAATAAATGAAGAACGCATAATTTTACAAATTGCATGTAGAAAAATAAAAGAAACTAAAACAATAAAATTATTATTTTTAGAAAAATGACTTTTAAATAGAATTAATTATTCTTTAATTATGTATACAGGAATAGAGACACATTAATCACAGTGTAAGTAGGTATGTATATAGATATACAAAGTGGGGTCCTGAATTGCCAAAAGGGAGGAAAATTAATGTAAAATATTTTCAGGTAATAAGAATTGTGTACATAAACTGTATAACAAGATTAAGCACCAAGTTAAGTAATGCGAAGTTATAAGTTCTAAAAGTATGAATCCTGATCTTTGTTGTTAAAGAAAAGCAGTTGAAATATTTTTTAATATTTCTGTTTATAATTTAAAGAGGAACCGAATTATGTTAAAAAATATAGTAGAAATATTGTGGAACACTCTTTTTTAGAGTTAAAGAGCAGTTACAGAACGCATCAAAAAGGCGTGCTATGTTGAATATTTAATTCTTAAACTGTTTTGCATTAAACGCTGTATGTTCATAGTGAAAAAATCTTACACCTATGTGTATAGTTTCGGAAGTTGAATATAGTATGTGTTAAAAGTTTTGTTCATTATCAGAAGTTTATTATATGGTTAGTATATTAGTGCTACAAAATAATGAAATTTTAGTTTTTAATTAATTTAGTTATTTTTGTTTTAAAATTAACCTTAAATGCAGAATAATAACCCTCGGATGATAATAATTTTATTTCCAAAGAATATGATAATAATGGACCATTCGGAAATGGACCAGGTTCCCATGAAACAGATATCCTTGTATGATCAACAGCAACAGTTCTTACAATTATTGGTTGTGATGTTGGTACTCCTTCAGCTAAAGTACTTATAATGATGCTTTGATGTGATACCAAAATTTCTTCACCATTTGGGGACAGTGGTATAGAAACACGAAACTAAAAAATTCATAATATGGTTTGCATAAATATTTCTGTTATACTATAAAAATATTTAAAATTTACCCTATATTTTGTATATGGTTTTAAACCATCTAAAAATATTGTTGAATTATTATAATCAATACTTTGATTTTTACAAAATTTCCAATCTTCATCTAGAGCTTCATAACGCCATTGTACTAAATAACTGCTTGGTGTATAAGTTTCATGTGTTAATGCAATCAATTTTACTGGAACTTTCCATTCTAATGATAATGATGTAGCTGTTAAAGTATCAGCAACTAAAGCTGGTGCTGGTGGTATTTTAATTTCACTCCGTAACCATTTAAAATATCGTTTTAGAGCATTATTACAGCCCATAGTACAGTAAACATCTTTTAATTGAATTAAATCATCATCGGTTTGATTCTAGAAAATTTTATTCAAATGAATATTAAAAATGTTCATATTTTTAATATTATAAGTGAAAAATCCCATTGGAAAATGTAAAAACAATGTTTAATATTTAGAATGAAACTTACGCAAACTATTTGGCAAGAGGATAATAAAGCTGATTCCCATAGTGAACAACCAAGATGATACTGAAATTAATGAAAAGAAAATAAATTATATTCAAATATTTTTATTCAAATAAAATTTTTTGAAATATGTACAATTGTCATTGACATTATAATTAATAACCTACTAATGATCGAATATTGTTAAAACAATTTTAGACATTAGATTTCAGAAATTATGGAAAATTTAGAAAAGAAAGGGTGCGTTACCTGCTTAAGACTTGAAACCCATAATATTTGTTATAGATTTCAGATGATATTGGGAATTCTCATGTTTTTGAGGCACATATTGATTGATATGTGCATTAATATGTGCAAGTTTACATTTCCGCTTCGAATATTCCTCATAAAGTCGAAACTCAATACGGAAATAATTATTTGAATAGGGTTAATTTTGATTTCTGTTAAAGTATATCAAGCGTGGAACAATAAAATATTTGCAAAATTATTTTCTCCGATTTAGTCGTAAGTACTCAGATATTATAATGATGCTGTTCTTAATTATGAAAGTGGGAGCTCATATACAAATATTAGCATTTTATTTGAATTTATCATTTATAATGTAAATTTTCACGTAATAACGTTATATACAGAGTAAAATACTTTTTACCTCTGTGCGAACTTGTGTTGTAAAAGAAATAGTTCAAAATTTAATATTTTTCGACCTTTATTATTTCTCTTAGTTTTTATAAATATTTTGATTTTACTCTGTTTTGGCATTTTCAAACATTTAAAGAAAACAACAAAATAGAAACTATTTTCATGGGAAGACAAACTATTTAAAACGTTTCTTGGAAGTTAAAACATTAAGAGCTCCTTCATTTCAGTTAATTAAACTTATTAATTATAACAAAATCAGAACATCCCATATTGCCAACACCCTACTGGGTACCTGTAGTTGCGTCAAATTTAGTGCAAATAATCTATAATGCCAACAATCCAAAATCGTGTCGGTGAGTTGCTGAGAGCTGTTTGTAAATGCTTTTTTGTTTGCATGAAAAATTCTACATTCTATCGGATGAAATCTGCTCCTGCCATAATTAAATATAGGCTGTATACACTTAAAATTTAAGTTACAAAAATGTTTATAATTACAAATGGACTTTCACTGTCTCTAGCTGCAACAGTAATAATATTTCCTGATAGTATTCTGAAAACTTAGTAGAAAATTTTTGTGTTTTTGTTTTTCTTTTATTTTGATTTAATTTTAAATAACAATGAAGAAAATTTAATCAAAAGGCATAATAATAATTTTCGAGAGTAAAGTGTACAAAATGAATAAAAATTTATTGTAAATTTAGTGAATCATTGACCTTTTCACTTTGATTTAATTTTTTTTTTCTCTTTTTTTTTGTGTTTGTGAAATAATGAACAACAAAATTTTGATTTTTAGGGAAGAGAGGGTTAAAATTATCACTTTAATGATCGCTTTTCTCGTTATTGTCGCTGGATTTTGTTTTTCTTTTTTTTTTTAGAACAAAAGCAAAAATTAAAATCAAAATAAAAGGAAAAATTTTAAAATGTTGGTTGAAGGCGTTGATTAAATTTTATTGAAAAATTTATGCTTTTAAGTTTTGTATTTTTTTTTTTATACCATATACAGCTATTTTGATTTTATAATATTTTTAAGTAAATTTGATTTTTATTTTCGGACATCATTTATTAAATTAACAAGTTTACAGGCACTTCCGAAATATTTAATGAAAAATTGGAAATAATTTCCAAGAAATTTTAACATCAGAGGTTAATACTCGTATATTCTAATAAAAATGTTGGTATAAAATGTTGACATTTATTATATTGTGCATTTGTTTAAAGTTTTTTTTTTTTGTTTTACAATAGAATTGTTATTATTTTGTAAATTTTTGTATTATTTTGGTATTTTTGTTCTTCCAACAAAATTTAAATGAAATTCCCTTGATTCTCGGATGTGTCACTCATATAACAATATTAAATCAAATATTAAAGCTTTGATTATCCGACTATGTAAATAGTGATGAGGAAAATAAAGGCACATATATAATCAAAATTGGAATTTATAAAATTCTAATTTATTTATTTGTTGAAAACAACTATAAAAGCATCCTATTTGCTGCTTGTTTTACTATGCATATAGTGTTTTTGCGGCACCTTTTGAAGTTTACGGCTCAAATATTATGTAAAATAATATCTCTAGCATGGATTCTGCATGGTACATGCTTTTAGAGGGGATCTGATGTATAATTTTGATGAATTATACCTAAAATACGTTTCTTGTAAGTTAATAATTATACAAGTTTCAATACCTTTAAAATACCATGATCATAAGCACTTGTTTTGTCTGAATATGTTTGATTATAAATCTGCATATTAAAATATTAAATAATAATAATAAGAAATTTATATTCAGTCGGCTTCTCAACAGAGTCTTATAACTTTTGAACTTGATTAAAATAATCAATTAATATTTCTAAAATTAAGTGTTAACATGTTGGATTGTTCATTAACACGAATATAATATATTAAAAATCTATATAATATATTATACAGCATAATACAACAACAAAACCGTTTTATGCAACAAAATTTGAACAAAGGGTGTATTCGCATATTACGTATTGTAATTTTCGCATTCCTTAGTAATTTTTTTTTGATAAAATCTCTTTTAACCTATTGCCGCGCATATATACGAACTGCTACAAATTTTAAAAATTTGACCCTCCCTAATTGATACCACTAATGTATTTGTCCAAAACCCATGCATTTATTTGACCATTTTAACCAGTTACCATTAAGTTTTTTTCTTTCCTTCTTTTAAAATTATAGTGCCCGATTAATATTTTAAGACCCATTCTAAATAACCACTTTCAACTAGAACTTTAAGTTTTAATGTGAACTTCCACAGAATGCCAACGAACTGCAAGCTAACACCAATTTGTATTTGATTAGTAAATTGGTTATCAATGTGTAAATAATATAAGCAGCTTATTTCAAAAGTTAATTATATATAAGCAGCTATTTCCATTCTTTATTTTGACATAACAATAAAATGGCACAATTATATATAATATAACCGTATGATTTTAACAATTGTGTTAACAGTTATATATATACTTTAGTATAAAAGTATAATATTAAAAATATTAATAATTACAATCTTGGGCAGTGTTAAGTAGAAACATTTGTATTCTAATCTAACTAGACTTCCAGAGAATCTTCAACTACACATACAATTTAAATTCAAGATTTACTAGAACTGAAATAAGGTAATTTTTAATTTTGCATTTAATAATTCCACTTATACCTATAAATATTATACGTGTACTTTTATACATATAGAGCAATTCAAAAAGCAAAAACAAAACAAAAGATAAATAAAGTAAAACTCGTGCCAAAAGATGAAAAAACAAAAATTCTATAAACAATAATGAAAGACTCGAATGCAAATATAAGAAAATCTTACAAGTGGTTAAAAATTATACCTTAATACAGCCATCTATTTATAAAGTCATTAAACAAATTTAGACATACACACGCATACGTTTGTAATATGACTATTTGCTCATGCATGTGTTTCACGTTTCTATAGACAAAACAACTGTCAAACTAATTGAATGTTTTCATATTTTCTTTCATTTTTTGCATATTTTATTTTAATTTTTATTTTAAATAAATTAAACAAGAAAATGTATGTATACATACATATATGTACTTATATGATTTTAGTTCTTCCCTCATGTAAAATTTAAAATTTTCATTTTATTTTTTTCTCTTTTAAATTCAAATTACTCTTTGTTGTTGTTTTAACAATTACTTTTTAAATTATTGAAAGGTTCTTTCATCGAAAATGAAATCCCTCTTATCCAGCGTTTTGACACAATTTGTATATGGTATGAAATTAAATTTTATGTATAGAGAAAAACCTGATTTATTTTTTATTAATGTTGTTGTCATTTTTGTTTCGACGTTGTCCAAACAAAAGCGTAAAAATACATGCACATGCAGATATAGTCGATCAATACGTTTAGTATACCAATATAATTTAGAACCTCTCAAAATTCGTATTGTTCATGTTCAGGTTTCTTCTAAGAACTTCTTTAAAAAACTAAGGCAGCTGCTTGAATTTCGAAAGAAAAAAAAATACCGGAAAAGTTGGAAATGATCTTGTCAAATCTGCCACAAGGTTTTCTGTTAATGAATGATGTCACAATTAGGCCAGTTTTACGAGTCTAAAATTTGGTGCCCTATCTGGTTTTCGTTACGGTAAGTTTGAAATGTTTAACAGTATAGCGCAGTTTTTGTTGCCGAATTTTTAAAAGCCAAAAATCTGTTATAGAAGACAAACTTTTTAAAAATTGGATTTGTATATTAAAATTCTCACTGACATTATTTTTATTTATAATAAACATTTAAGTAAACGTTTTTTTTTTAAAGTGGTATAAGTGCGTTTTTCGAAAAAAAGTTGATTATTATCGAGAATTTTAGTAAGATGTGAACACCTTCTTTTTGAAATTCTGAAATATTTTAATATAGGAACGCTTACCACTTAGACCGAAAATATATATGTAACTGTTGCATACAAAACTTCAAAAGCGTTTAATTTATTTTTTATTTCTCTTCAAAATCATAAAAGCAGAAGTTTTTGACAAATGAATGTTTCCAAACCTATCGTAATTGGTATTATTAATGGAAAAAGGTCAAGAATTAATTCTTATGAAAATTTGATTTTATTAGAAATAAAAATAATTTTTTTCTTCAAAATTTACAAAACGTCAATTTTCGGCCAACTACTTTTTCAACACAATAAGCTTCGAAGTTCGAATTTATACACAAGAGTAATTGTCCTTTCTGACAAAAGTATGTTCTTATGCTTTTAACTAAATTATCTAGCACATGATACGTTTCAATCCATGTTATACTTAGTATTGATTTCTTCACTTTTTGAAAAATATTACTTTAAAATTCATCCTAAATGTATGCAACAATATAACATTGCAGTAAGAAAATAAACATAAGGGCCTAAAATTTTTTAAGATTAGTATGCT